GGACCCAAAGGAAGGAGCGAGACACCATGGACCGCCGAGTTGGCACTGAGCAGGAGGAGTGGCATGCCTGGTCCACTACAACACCTTTGGGAAGCCATGCAACTACCTCAACAGCCTGTCACGGCTCTGAACATCCTGGAAAAATATGGCCGCAACCTCCTCAGCCCTCAGAGGTCCTGGTACTTGAGAGGGGTCAAGTTTAATAACCCTGTCTTTCACAGTACAGTGGATTCGGGGCTGGGGAACCAGGATGTGCTGCAATTGTATGACGACACAGAGGAACAGCCAGATGGGCTGAGCTTCCCCAAAATGCAGAAGAAACCAGATGAGCACCAGCTTGCTACAGTCACACTGGAAATACTTTCTAGTGGCAGTTTGTACCTTTTCGGGATGGGCAGAGACATTGCCCATCATTCTGGAAAAGGCTGGGAAGTAGTCAAATTACTCCTTAAAGAAATCATTCCTAGATGTGGCTTGCCCTTGTCAACTGGCTCAGACAATGGACCAGCGTTTCTCAGATCTCATACAACCTTTCTAAAGCCTTAGGCATCACTTAGATGCCTACCATCCCCAGAGTTCAGGACAGGTAAAATGACAAAATTCGTGTCAGTCCTGGTTTTCCTGGAACCCATGGCTCACTTCTCTACTAACTGGAATCTCGGGGCCCCTGCTAATCTTATCCATAGCATTGTTATTGGGCCCCTGCATCTGTAACTCCCTCGTCAGATTTATCCAAAATCAGATAGAATCCGCCAAACTCCTAATACACTCCCAGAATTATGAACCCTTACAACAAGATGAAGTTTGCTCAAAGATTTGAGCTAGTCACAACGAGGGGAAATATAGCAGACCTGGGGCCCTCCTGCCCAGCCCCTTGCCCCCTTAGACAAAAAACAGCATGTATCCCCCTGGCCACTCTGTGCATATAACAGGAAAACCGCAAAGCTGAACCAAACCTTGCAAAATTGAATAACTGAAGAGTATTTAGCTGAAACATTTTCACCCCACAGCTAACAATACCTGCTTATACACCTATATGTAACCAACCTGTATGTATAGCTCACTTTTACAAGTACTCGGGGTCAGAGTGGTTTAAGCAATAGCTGACACTCTGTCCGCCGGCAATAAACTTGCTTTTCTGAGATCTGGGACTGAGTCTTATACTCTTATACTATGCACCGTGCCATAACAGAACCACTATGCCAAGAAAGTGCACAAGAAAAGATGAATAACTTGTCTGAGGCCACAGTTCCAGGGAACGCAGGACTCAGATTCAAACCTCATCTGTCCGAGCCTCAACTCTTGCTATGATGCACAGCTTAGAGCTGTCAGCAGGACGCATGTCAAACAGAAGCAGCCATTTGCAAAGAACAACCTACATCAGCAGGAAAGCAAACGTAGGGACCTCCTCACATGGACTAAGTAACAGAGGTGTTTCTTAAGGTCTCATGCCAGGGCTGAGCCCACAGCCTGGAGACCCCCCATCACTTGGTACGCTTCCTCCTAAAGCACATGGTGTGAGAAGGTTCTTAGCAAAACCTTGCATGAGAGTTGCTTCCCCTCGGCCCATGCACCTGAGGAGCTAGCTTTGGGGAAGGAAGATGTTTAGGCAGGCTGATCTTTCCCAGTAATTCATTCAGAAAATATTAGCCGGGGGCCTAAACTATTGGCAACTTCATCATTTCAAAACATCCTCCAGTCTGGGCCAGCATGAACAGCCGGACTTGGAGAGGTTGCCGCATTATTCCTGGCACCAGAAAGGCACACAGACCCAAGTGTGTTAAATTACAGGGTTGGCAGGGCCTGGCTCTGGGGCTACGCTGAGCTAGGGCATCACAGAGGGTATCTCAGGGAACTCAGGCTCAAAGAGGGGTTGTGCAGTGCCCAAAGGCACACAGTGAGCACCAGGGCTGGGATGTGAACCTGGCTTTCTGGGCTGTTTCCACAGTGGCAGAATAACTGCCTGCATGTCTGCTTGCCCATCTCTTAGGCTCACTTCAGATTTGCTGGTGGAAATTTGATCCACAGGGAACAGCCAGGAGCCCCCAGAAAGGAGGTGCTTCTCACTCTGGGATAGGGCTGTATTGCTTCCCCCAATACATGGACATCCTAGCCAGCAACAGAGACTCACCCCTTTCTTACTCTGGCATTCAAGGCTCCTACAGCCCAGCTCCAACTTGACTCTCCCGCACCTCTTCTGACTCACCCTCCAGCAAACCTATGAGCCTCAGACATATGATCGGAATAGTTTTTTATTCCCCTCAGCTATCTAGACCCTTCCATCCCGAGGCGCTAACTCCAACTACAGCCCACTTCCCACCAAGTCCTTTCTAACCAGCCCCTCCTCAGACCTTTAGAGCCCTTGTTGCCTCTCTCACCCATTTCACGCACCATCACTCTCAAGCTAATAAAAAATAACAATGACATTCCTAAGGCCATATCCCAGGTGTACGTGCATCTCGGCTTCACTCCTCACAACAACTCTCTGAGTTGGACGCTGTTACCTCCATTCACAGATGAGGACACAGAGGCTCAGAGAGTTGTCCAAGTCACCCAGGTAGGAATTGGAACCCAGGGCCATCTAACTCTCCTGTCAAGGTTCCTAGCCTTGTTTAGGTTTTCAGTGACCCACAGCTTCACTGCATTCATTACTGCTGAGTGTGTACGCACTTGCTTTAAGACACGGCACCAAGTCTTAGAAGACTGAGACCATTTCATTCATTCATTCATTTAAAATTTGTTGGTCATCTTCTACCCCATTCCCTGGATGCAGACCTTCTCTTGGGCATTAGAAATATAGGAATGAAAAAGCCACAGCCTCTGCCTTCAAAGTGCCTCGTCTAGTTGGGGGAGAGTCCTGCAAAGGGAGAAATGACGGAATAGGGAGAGGAACCCAGGAGAGAGAGTTTCCAGCCAACATCACCAAAACACTGGAACCTGTAACAGATCTGCTGTTTGCTATCTCTCCCTGCTGTGGCGCTGTGGGCTAAGGCACTGGACTGCAAGGTCACCGGTTCAATCTCACCAGCTGCTCCTTGGAAACTCTATACAAGGTCTCTATGAGATGGAACTGACTCAATGGCACTTAACAACAACATCTCTCCCTGCATACAGCAGGTGCTTCTCCAACTACAGTATCAGTAAAAGCCCCGTGGATGTGCGTGGATGTGCGTGGA